AGAGGATCAAGTGTATTCACACAGACAATGGAGGTGAATACAAAAATGATCATTTTAATAAGGTCTGTCAAAATGATGGCATCGTCCGACACTTCAATGTCAGACATACACCACAACAGAATGGGNCCAAAATCACCATACGGAGCTATTGGAATCATCAAAATTCAAATCCAAGGTCGTTTACATATAGTTCCATATCCGGTCCACTTTTCTAACTTACAATTTTTAATTATGAGACTTAGTGTCTCATTTCACCCCGAGTTCCTTCCGGACTCGAACCAACTAACCCGAAGATAGTTACAGCAGGGTTATAACTCTCGAAATGACCGGCCGGGTAGTTACAGCAGTCCATCCAGTATTCCATGTATCTATGCTCCGAAGATATCATGGTGATCCGTCCTATGTGTTAGATTTCAGCTCAGTCCAATTGGACAAAGATTTGACTTATGAAGAGGAACCAGTAGCTATTCTAGCCTAGCAAGTCCGACAGTTGAGGTCTAAGAGTTATCCTTTAGTACGGGTGCAATGGAGAGGTCAACCAATTGAGACAGCTACCTGAGAGTCCGAGTCGGACATGTGGAGTAAATATCCACACCTTTTCACCAGCTCAGGTACTTTTCTAATTCCGTTCAGGGACGAACGTTTGTTTTAGAGGTGGAGAATGTGATGACCCAAAAGATCATCTTTAAATTTAATAAATAATTATGTTTTCTAAGACCTTGAAAAATACTATTACCATTTCTCGACTTGCGTGTGCAGTCCTATAATTTTTCGAAAAGTTTTGATGTGAAATATAGATTAAAATGTGAAGTAGAGCCTTAAAACTTAATTGAGTTTACTTTGATTAATATTTTGAGCAAACGGACTCGGATCAGTATTTTGACAGCTTTGGTAGGTCTGTATCATGATTTGGGACTTGGGCGTATGCACGAAATTTAATTTGGGGGTCTCTAGCTCAAGTTATGGCCATTTAACGGAAACTAGAAATTTAAAGGCTAAAGATTTCCAAAGTTGACCACGGATTTGACTTTTTGATATCGGGGTCGGAATTCAATTCCAAAAATTGGAATATCTCTGTTATGTCATTTATGACTTGTGTGCCAAATTTGAAGTCATTCCGGATTCATTTAACATGTTTCGGCACAAGTTTTGTAAATGGAAAAGTTTTAAACTCTTAAGTCCGAATCAAGGTATGAATTGTAATTTCAATGTTATCTGATGTGATTTGAGACCCCGAGTAGGTCCGTATTATGTTACAGGACTGGTTGGTATAACTGAACGGGATCCCGAGTAGCTCGGTGAGTTTCGGGATGAGTTTTGAGCGAATCCGGACATTTCGGCACTCTAATATTGTTCTGAAACTTTTGGAAAAGTGCGGACCGCACAATTTTGAGTGCGGACGCACTTCAGAGGAAAAGTGCGGACCGCACAATTTTGAGTGCGGACGCACTTCAGAGGAAAAGTGCGGACCACAGAGGAAAAGTGCGGACCGCACAATTTTGTGTGCGGCCGCTCTTAAGAGGAAATATGCGGACCGCACAATTTTGTGTGCGGCCGCTCTTAAGAGGAAATATGCGGACCGCACAATTTTGTGTGCGGTCGCATTTTTGGGGTTCTGCAGGTTCGATGGTCCGACTTCGGAACCTTATATCTTTTAATCCACAACTAATTTGGAGATGATTCAAAAACGAAGATTGTATACCATTGAATGTAGTTTCCAGAAAGGTATAGAATTAATCATTTGGACATTTTTACATAAAGTTATGGACATTTCACTGAAGCTTGGTAAGCTGCCACAGTGAAGTGCGGTCGCACTCAAAATTATGCGGCCGCAGAACTTGAAAATGTGCGGCAGCACTTGAAAATGTGCGGACCGCACATTGGGAAGTCAGAATTATGTACTATATAACCGAGGGTTTGGGTATTATTTCATATTTTAGACTTTGAGAGCTCGGTTTGTGACGATTTTTCATGGGTTTTCAAGAAATTCATTGGGGTAAGTGTTCCTTATCCTATATTGATTATATTCCATGATTCCATACTCATTTACATCATGAATTCGTGAATTTATGGAAGAAAAATCAGATTTTTATAAAATCTTCCAAAAATATAAAATTAAGATTTGAAGGTCAATTCGATGTCGGAATTCGATAATTTTTGTATGGTTGAACTCGTATCGGAACAGGTGTTTGAATTTCGTAAGTTTTTCTGGGATTCGATACGTGGGTCCCACTAATGAGTTTTGAGATGAATTTCGGATTTTAATCCGAAAAATTAGTAAATTCATATGGAATTAATTCCTACGATTTGTATTGTGTATATTGAATTGTTTATGACTAGATTTGATGATTTCAGACACTAATTCGCGAGGCAGGGGTGGATTGGAAACTTGAAGTTGGTTGCGAAGTAAGTGTCGTGGTTAACCTTGACTTGAGGGAATAGAACCCTTAAATTATTTGTTATGTGAAATGCATGTGAACGACATATAGGCGAGGTGACGAGTGTCTATACGTTGTCAAATTAATTGTTTGCATAATTACTTGAAAAATCATAAATCGTCTTAAATCATAAATTAATTATTATATTAATTGTTCTCTCATGTTCTTTGCTCAATATCATGCCTTGAATCCATGCTATAATTGTTACATGCTTATTTGATTTATGTGACTTATTTGCCATTTGACATTTAGCATACTAATTATTAAAATACCTATTACATCCTTAATTTCCACAATTAATTATTACTTGTCATCACTTATTTCTAATAAATCATAATTATTGTATGCTTGTTGTCTTATAATTTCACATTAATGGTTGCATTTATTGGCGTAATTTTTTTATAAGAATTAGTAAATGAATATATTGGAGGAACAGGTTGCATGCCGCAACGGAAATGAAAGTGACTATATTGGAGGAGCGGGTTGCATGCCGCAACAGAACTGATTGAAATGAATATATTGGAGGAGCGGATTGCACGCCGCAACAGAACTGATTGAAATGAATATATTGGAGGAGCGGGTTGTACGCCGCAACAGAATTGAATATGAATATATTGTGGGATCGGGTTGCACGCCGCAACGGAAATTGATTGAAATAACAATTGGTTATGAGTGTCGAGTTGACTTCAACTATTAACATGAATTACCTGATTTATTTCTATTATTGTTGTTATTATTATTATTGTGTACAGGTTAATGTAAGTGACATGCCTTAGCCTCATCACTACTTCGTCGAGGTTAGGTTCGGCACTTACCAGTACATGAGGTCGGTTGTACTGGTACTACACTCTGCACTTCTTGTGCAGATTTCGGAGTTGATCCCATCGGCGTACTGTAGATTTGCCCAGATACAGCTACCAGTGGAGACTTGAGGTATAACTGCACAGCGTTCGCAGTTCTGAAGTCCCCTTCTATCTTATCTCAGTTGTGTATTATATTTCAAACAGCTTGAATTTTATTCAGACCTTTATTTGTATTATTCTAGAAGCTCGTGCACGTGTGACACCAATTCTGGGATGGTATTTAGACATCGCTATTTTTATGGTTTATTCACTATATTTCAGACTTTACTTCCGCATTTGTTTATTTGTTATTAATTAGTTTAAAATTATTTTAAAATGGCTAATATTATTCTAATGTTGGCTTGCCTAACAAGTGAAATGTTAGGCGTAATCACGGTACCAAATATAAAAATTTTGGGTCCTGACACTTGCCGGCAGAATTAGCATTTGTCCTCATGTATCGATGTTAAAACAGTGTCTTCAGGACAAAGCCCAAGCTATTACCGTGGATAAGGTGGAAGTCAATAAGAACTTGACCTATGAAAAGATGCCCATCGAAATTCTTGACAGACAAGTTTTGGGAACCAAAGATGTGGCAACAGTTAAAGTCTTGTGGCATAATCTTGATTCGAGGGAGGGAAAGGAGAAACGGGAAGGAGATTGTAAGATTGGGAGTCATATCCCCCACGAACAAAGTGAAAGTACCAATAAAGTAAAAATACAGATAACCAACCTGAACAATTAAAATAATAGTTTTAGTTAATGAGCTTAAACAAAATTGGATTGTCAAAGGTATATAACACTAGGCCCAAAGACTTTAAAGCAAATGGATGTAGAGGGAAAAGTTTATGGATTACATTGATTATGGGACTGATGATAAAAAGAGGAATTTTTAGAAATCACTATTGTTTAGTGGCTATTAACTTCTTATAGCTATCATATACATAATTACTTTCTATAGTTACTATTCAGTTATTACGGTAGTGTATTCACATGTATTTGCGCTGTTGTATTCATGAATACTGCAGCAAAAAATGCCTAACATTAAGGCAGTCCAGTTGTACGCGCATGTATTCGCGCCATGTATTCATGAATACAATAGTAAAAAGCGCCTAAAATCAGGGCAGTCCAGCTGTACGCGCATGTATTCACATGTATTCGCGCTGCTGTATTCATGAATACAACAGTAAAAAGCGCCTAAAATCAGGGTAGTCCAGCTGTACACACATGTATTCGCACCATGTATTCATGAATACAGCAGCAAAAAGCGCCTAAAATCAGGGTAGTCCAGCTGTACACACATGTATTCGCACCATGTATTCATGAATACAGCAGCAAAAAGCGCCTAAAATCAGGGCAGTCCAGTTGTACATGCATGTATTCACGCTGCTGTATTCATGAATACAGTTGTACGCGCATGTATTCGCACCATGTATTCATGAATACAGTAACATCAATCCCTTAAAAATAGGTATGTTCAGCTGTCTAAGATAGGAAAAACATAAATAGCGTATTTCATGCATCAATGGTAGTATATACCATAAAATACTTATTTTGCTATAAAATATAAAAGATAACTATAAAAAATAATATTTTAAAATGATTTTAGTTTATAATTAATAGGGTGTATACTTTTGCTATAAAATTTCCGTGATAAAACAAGTTAGCAGCCACGACAGTCTCTATCTAGATCAGAAGTGGACCAAGGCTGTTTAGGCCATGACACAACCGTTGTTAGCTGTCTAAAATACCATGGTCTGCTGCCATTGTTTCTTACTCATCCAGATGATTTTGACATGTAAATTAATTTGCATATGATCCACTTTCAACCCTTCATTTAATTATGATCAGTTAGCCTAGAAGAGTATAAATTGGGTGTTTGCATGTGTACGTGAGATGAGAGGACTTTTGCATTTTAATTCCTGTATAATTGTGTTCGCAATATTAAACAATCGCATTACAATTTTTAAAGAAGAAATTAAGTTATATATATGTAATATTAGTCATGTGCAGAAAAAAAAAATCAGAATATATGCTTAATCGATTGCATCATGTTACTTATTCTCTTTTTGAGATTATTTTACTCAACATGGTTATCAATCCATTAACCAATAAATGGAAGTAGATTATACATGGTCAATACTTGCGCAAGGCAGCCATATTAATACGACAGCTACAACTTCATATATAGTCTTCAAATTAAACCAAGTAATAAAGTGCTATTAAATTGTTTGTCAATCAACTCCCTCTCCCACTAGTACTTCAGGGGCTGATTAAGCTTTTCAGATTTCGTGTTCATCTAAATTTAATATTTTTTATACGGAGCAAATTTATGTATACAAATTTATTAAATTTATAATAATTAATAAATTTGAACTCATAAAACTTAAATACTAAATTCGTCTGTAAATAAACACGTACCCAGCCCTTGTAGCATTAAAGTTCAAGTCAGTATACAAATCCTGCTAATGCGCTTATCTGGGAATGCTTTCTTTTGCGAATTGTGATTATAACCAAGTCAACCATACTATTACGACTGCTACAACTTTGTAGTCTTCAATTCAAAGTAAACCGTTTACTTCCTATGTTTATTTAGATGAGTTAGTTTGACTCGGCACGGAGTTTAAAAAAAAAAGACTTTTAAAATTTGTGATTTTAAAAGCTTAATGGGTAAAAGTTTTGTGGGATCATAACATTTGTATGGTTATAAATGTTTCTCATTAAGGGTAAAATAGATAATATGAAAAGTTTAAAGTTGAATTATTTTTAAATTTAAAAATGTGTCATTTATTTTGGAACAGACTAAAAAGGAAAGTATATCATTTAAGTATAATAAAGTGTTGCTTCCATCAATTCTTTTTAACTGTCACTCAAACCACACAAAAAAAAAATCCAAAATATTTGTTACTTTAGAAAATTAAAATGCAATAATTCGTTTTTCCTAATTCCATCCTTGCAACNTATATATATATATATATAATGTTATTAAATAATTTCTTATTTGGTGTGTCAAAACCTTAAAGAGAAATAAAATAGACGGACGGAGTATTAGATTATTTGTCAATCAATTCCCTACCCCACCAGTACCACCCACCCCTGATGGCATTCAAGCTCAAGAAATCAACAGAACAACTACTACAAATGCCCTTAAGTTATCTGGGACCGTTCTCTTATATGATATCAGAGTCAAATTAAACATTCCAAATAAGACCTCCACTGTTGCTTGCTGCAGTTAACTATTTTCGTTACTATACCTCCATTGCTTCTGCAGCTACCTAGCTTCTATATATGTATATACACACTATGTATCTTTACAACAAGAAAGAGCCTCAGCCAATAACCGCCAATATATATAGCATATGAAGTCGTTATTGTAGAATTCAGAACCCATAAAGTTCAAATCTTGGATCAGCTTCTGTTTAACCAGAAGATATATACCTTTTGTTTTGTCGCAAAATATGACTACAGAAGGAGGAGGAGGATCGACTTCGAGTCCTTCTCGCACTCTTTTAGACACTCCAACTTGGGCTCTGGCAATTGTTTGTTTCATCTTTATTTTCCTTGGCATTTTCATTGAACACTTGATCCATCTTCTTTGTCATGTAAGCAAATAAATTACTCTAGTTTATTATGTCAATTCATGATCAGTTTTTGATCATTTGAAATTTACATGCAGTGGCTCAAAAAACATAGGAAGACCGCTTTGTTTGAAGCTGTGGAGAAACTCAAATCAGGTCATCTTTTACCCAAAATTCATTGTCTACCATTTTTAATTTACTTCAACTTTACTTGTAAGGAATAATACTCTAGTTTTCTTAACCATATCTTATAGAAATACGTATTTGATCATGATTTTTCTCTTCCTTTATTTTTCCTTTTTTTTTTCTTTATGACCGAACATGTTTGATCTTGATTACTAAATTGCAATGAATATAATTCACCTTTTCTAGTACTTTTATGTAGCCCGTAGGTTATGTTTAGTTTATAGCTCCTTCTTTACTACATATAATAACTGGAAAATATAGAACGGGATTTAAATTATATATATACTAGCTAACACTATAAAGAGTTTTTTGCACTAACCAAAAATTTTAACATGTAATAGCAAGTTAGTTACCATATTTATTAGGTTATCAAATTATCTTTTACATTGTCGGTACATAAGAACTTACAATATATCATACTACATTTTAGTAACTATATATTAATGTACTGAGTCAGAGAAGAGTACAATTATACGCTGTTGTACCCTGCAAAAAAAACCCGATAATTGACTATTTAATTTGTTTTGTGTATGCAGTGTTGATGCAACTGGGGTTTTTATCTCTGTTATTAGCAGTGATACAAAGGCCAATATCCAAAATATGCATACCAAATAGAATAGCAAATTCCATGCTTCCTTGTCATCAAAGGGAATTAACGTCACTTGAGAACTCAAAGGATCATTGTGGCTCCAGAGTATGGAATTAAAGAAGGATACTTTTTCATTTATTTTTTGGTGATTAAAAATGTTCTCTTTGTTGGATTTTTTTTTTTTTTTAATTTATTTGTTTCTTATTTTATCCAGGGGATGACTTCTTTTATGTCACAAAATGGAATCAATCAGCTAAACAACTTCATATTTGTGCTAGCAATGATGCAGATTGTGTACAGTGTTGTCACAATGGCTTTGGGAAGGGCCAAGGTACGTATACTATGTGACATTATTATTGTTTAGAAAATCAAATATATGTTTAACTACAATTTTCTAAACCATTTATATTGTAAAAAATATGATTTATAGTATTTTATATGCAGTGGTAGAGCCAGAATTTTTATCAAAGGGTGTCAAAAAATAAAAAAATAGATACACCGAAAAATTTAGGGGATTCAACGTATAGTAAATATACATAAGACAAAAAAATAATCTACCAATACAATGTAATTTTCTAGCGAAGGGGTATCAATTGGCACCCCTGGATTGAATGTGGCTCTGCCACTGTTTATATGAGTTTTAAATAGTTCATAGTGTTAAAAAAAAATACATCGAAAATACCCAAACCTAGATAATAATTATTTTCTTAAACTTCTTATTTAAATTTTCCTTATCTTCTGATTAATAGATGAAACGTTGGAAAACTTGGGAGAAGGAGAGTCAGACCATAGAATATATGGCAGCCAATGGTATGCACCTTATTCTCGTTTATTTATATATAAAAGTAAAATATGTTGAGATGTTGGGTGAAATCAAGTTTGCAAAATTGTTCAAGTTTGCTACATTAGATATTAGATAAAAAGTTTAAGGGATGACAAATACTCAATTTTGAATAGTATATAGGCAATTTTAACCTTTCCTTATCCAGTGATAATGGTCTAATTGTTTTAACGAAATCTATGTAATTTGACTGAATCCACTACTTTACCTACACCTTTTCTTATGTTACCAAGCCGTTGGTGTAGGTATGCAGTTTTAATTGGATTTGAGTAATTAACTTGATTATATAAATATTTGTTATATTATTAATGATACAAAACTGACTGTCTGCCTAACAAAAATTATGTATACAGAGAAGAGTACAAAAGACAAGTTTAGAAACTATTATTCTCTCCGTTTGAATTTAGATGAGTTAGTTTGATTCGGCACGGAGTTTAAGAAAAGAAAAAAAAAAAGACTTTTGAAACTTATGATTTTAAAAACTTAAGGGGTAAACGCTTTATGGGGTCATGACATTTGTGTAGTTATAAAAGCTTCTCATTAAGAGCAAAATGGATAAAATAAAGAGTTTAAAGTTGAGCTATTTTCAAATTTAGAAATATGTCGTTTATTTTGGAACAAACTAAAAAGGAAAGTATCTCATCTAATTTGAAACGGATTGCACGCCGATAATGAAGACTTTCTCTTCCCAAAAGAGGACCATTCTAGATGCACATATTAGTCAAACTTGTCTAACGAGAGTTGACAATATTATTATTTTTTAAATTAAAAAAAATCATCCACCGCAATTGTGTCAAATATTTTCAAACTATTTTAAATTTCTAACCATTAAGACTTTTTAATACTTTTATTTAATTTGAAAATATAAATTTTAATTCAAAAAATAATATATGCTTTAATTTACTCTGAAATAAGCATTTGACCTTCCTACTGCGCCCAAAAATATGGCGCAATGGTCATTAAAGTGGGAGAAAAATTATGTGATTTAAGGTTCAAATTCGATGGAGGCAACTCATGCCAGAGTGCTAGGTAATTTATTTCCTATCGGTCCAATGCTTAGTGAACAGAATTATCTAGTATTTGTGGTGGTGATGGGAGATAGTAATTATCCCATAAAATTAATCGAGTTGCACACAGACGGACCCGAATACCATAATTATTATTATTTTTTAAATAAGTGCTTGACCCTCCTATGTACTTTGACACTTTCACATAAGATGAGAAGAAAGGAGTAATTGTTTGATGCCATAGTTTTTGTTTACGTGTTGAAGCTTGAGTTTGAACCGTCTTTGTACTTGAATGTTAGAATAAAATTTCAATCTCGCTTTGACCATTAACCAATTTCAGAAAATTCAAATCAAATTTTTTGAGTAGCATAACTTGAGAAGATATAGCGATTTTGATCTGATTAAAATCATATTTCATCTGATTTATATTATTGAACTCTAATTTTTGTATATTTATCAAATGTAACCACCCATTAGATCCTAATCGATTCAGATTTACAAGAGAAACCACATTTGGACGACGCCACATGAACAAGTTTACAACCACTTCTACTCATCTTTGGATTGTAAGTATAAATTTTTCTCTTTCTTTTAGATGTATTAACTTTGGATTGCCTCTTTTGCTATTACAAATTTACCATTTATACTATTTTGCAAATGGGACAGAAATGTTTCTTTCGGCAATTCTTCCATTCAGTAGCCAAAGTTGACTATCTTACATTACGCCATGGCTTCATTTCGGTAGGTATCACTTTCTTTTTCTTCCAACACACTCATGTTTCAAATAAATAGTTATGCAAAACCATTAAATCACAAATAATATTCAAATGATTTGGTTCAGGGGCGGATTTAGGGGAGCGGGGGGTTCACTCGAACCCTCTCTGCCGAAAAGTTAAACTGTATATATATAAGGCTAAATCTGGTTTGTACTTTTATATATTATATTTTGAATTCCCTTGACACATTCCAAGAGCATGGCTCAATGGTCAAGGGGGTTTAAAACCTTTGTAAGATTGTTGGTTCAATTCTCATTGACCACTCTTTTAGTTTTTTAACTTTTTTCTTTTTCTGAATCCCTTGGAAGAAATCTCCGCCACTGATTTGGTTGTAAGTTTGTAACCAAACAAAACCATTAACCCTAATGCTTGCATATATTAGGGTAGACTATCTACGTAATATTCTTTAGGTGCGGTTTTTCCTCAGATCATGCGTGAACGCGACATGCCTTGTGCTTCGGGCTATCAATTTTTATTGTCTCACTAATGTTTTTCCCTTTTATTTTTGCTCGATCAAAATGTGCAGGCTCATTTATCTTCAAACAATGCCTTCAATTTTCAGAAGTACATCAATCGGTCTTTAGAAGATGATTTTAAAGTCGTTGTTGGCATCAGGTACGTACTTACTCCCAATGATTTATAATTTACACTGATTTCTAATTCGATATAATGAAGGAAACATTATTTTTAACGAGGGATCCAAGGTTCACAATAAGTATACTTTTAGTTGAAATATCAAGTAGACCTTGAAAAAATTACTTTTATCTCATATATTCACCAATTACAGATAGCAATTTTGCGATACGTACTAGTAGTTGAAAAACCTCCCGATCAACTTTTTCCATGATCATGCTCTGGTTTAGCATCTGCTGGGGACCGTAATATGTAGCGGCAACTTTCGCCATTATTTTCGTCATCTAAGGTTGAAAAAGATTAGATTAGTCTTATTAAATTCATTCTCTAATGGTTTATCAACGAAAAACCCTCGGGTATACAAAAAAAATTTGTGATTCCGCTTCTTCAACTACTAAAAAACTTGAGAATAAATTGTATACTCGACTCTGAATTAATATTTCAAATTCGACATGTAGTAATTGCACTGCTCCATACGAAATAATTTATATATTATATTCACTAGTACCCTGACACGTAATGTCCTCTTATTCTTTACTGAAACAGCCCTTTCATGTGGTTATTGGTGGTCATCTTCTTGTTGGTTGACGTCCATGGTACGTTTGTCTACTCTGCATCTCCTTATTTTTGTGTTGAATAGCGTAAGACTATCTCATTTAAAAACTTAAGCTACTAAATAAAGCACGTAATAAAATTTTTGGCTAAATTAAGCAACTTTTGAATTATCTACGAATTTGCTAAACACTCAATGTGTTTATAAGCTAAGTGCTTATAACTCAAAATTAGCCAAAAGTCATAAATTGGTCATCCCTAACTTATGACTTTTCAGCTTTATAAGCACTTTTAATTAGTTTGACCAAAACTTCACAAAATACCTTTCTCAAAATAAAATTTTTAACTTTCTCTTCATTTCATATTCGTCAGCCCCCCCTTTACAAAAATACTCTTACACTTATAATCTTTTGTAAAAATAGAAAAGAAATAATTTAAGGGTAATTTAATCATCTTAACAAGAGAACAACCAATCAGTTATCAAATGTATCAATTATCTATTATCAGTTTCAGCATTTATATTCAATACATCTATAGGATCAATTTCTACTTAAAAATACTTTACAACCGTTCAAATTTATCGGTGTTAACTAACCCGAACGGCCATTCACGTAAACTTTTAATTATTTAATTATATAATGTCGCCGTCAGTTAATTAAGCTCTCAGAAATACTTGGTTTTTCTAGCTGAAACTTAATCTTTATTATTAATTTAAACAGGTTGGAACGTCTATCTTTGGGTATCATTTCTTCCGCTCATTGTAAGAATACATAAACGTCCTGCTCTTAGTTAGTTTTATTTTTAAGTTTCATTAATTGCAATTCAAGATTTGTTAATTAATGGTTGATTTTATAGACAGTGTTAGTGATTGGGACTAAGCTGGAGACGATTGTTGCCCAAATGGCTCTTCAACTAGAAACTCAACAAGACAATGACGTCATCATAGGATCGCCAACGGTCCAACCTAATGATAATCTTTTTTGGTTTAATCAGCCTCAGTTTGTCTTGACCCTTCTATATTATACCCTTTTCATTGTAAGCAATTTCTCTTTTAGGATTTAACTAATTAACATTTTAAGAGTACAAAATATTTGTGTTATGTCACTTACAGGTAAATCTATATAATTAAGTATTAATTAATAAATTAGTACAACTTATTTCATAGGTTAAACTAGCTACAATAATAATGTATAAAAATATTTAATTTACAGTAATATTAGTATATGTAACTTGTATATACTGATAGTGAAAAAAACTTTAACTGTAACATTATATTTTAACGTATTGTGGCTCGTAAGTTGCTTTACTTTTTCAAGTTATTAATTCTATTTTTTATGGAAGGTTACTTATAGTTATCCTATATATAAAAAAAATTATACGATTAGCGTATGCAAGTTAAATTCATAGGTTAATAAGCAAAGAATCAAATTTTCATTATTATTTTTTTGTCCTAACAATTAACTCATATCTATTTTCTTTGTATTTCATGACTAATTGATTGTAGAATGCATTTGAGCTGGCCTTCTTTATTTGGGTGACGGTAAATCTCTGTGCCCTAATTTTGGCCAAACTAATCTCATTAAGCCAACAAGTAGAGTAACTTGTGCTTAGACAACTCATTTTATTAGTTTTTGCTAAATATTTCAGTGGCAATTTGGAATAAAATCCTGTTATCACGAGAATGTGGAGATCATCGTTATCAGGGTGGTATTGGCGTAAGTCATAATTCGATTTCCCTGTCTTTATCAGAATTATTTACTCCTACTCCTTTCGTTTCAATTTATATTGCGATATTTAATTAGTTACGGACTTTTAAAATTTGTGCTAAAACAAGCTAGCCACATCGATTTATGTGACTATAAATTATATTAAAGGAAAAATGGTAATTTTATAATTAAAATTATTTCTAAATAATAAAAATATATATTTCATTCTTTTTTAGACAGACGGAAAAGGAAAATACGGCACATAAGTTGGAAAGAAAAGAGTAACATTATTGTATTCAAATAAAATGATTTATAGCATTGCATGGGCCATGCAGGGTGACGGTTCAAGTACTTTGTAGCTACATTACGTTGCCTCTCTATGCCCTCGTTACTCAGGTTAGTCGTCCAATAACGTTGTTTCTATCTCAGACTAATATTTATAATGATTTCTTATTTTGTACTATTTACCCGAAAAACGGATAGAGTTAAATTCATATATGGTTCTAAGGATATGTGATATGATTTGATACAAACCGTATTTGAAAATGATAATATCTATGTTCTTGACTATGAGGATGAGAATAGCGAGCAAGAAGAATGAATAAGATAAAATGAAATAAACTTAAGAGGATATCTCTCAATCTCTGAGGGCGTCCCCTGTTACAATCTGAGAACCCCACTTTATAGTAGAGGGATCCTACCATATTTATAATAAAAAATACATAATGGAGAACCCACGATGAATTANGATTATGAGAATAGCGAGCAAGAAGAATGAATAAGATAAAATGAAATAAACCTAAGAGGATATCTCTCAATCTCCGAGGGCGTCCCCTGTTACAATCTGAGAACCCCCCTTTATAGTAGAGGGATCCTGCCATATTTATAATAAAAATACATAATGGAGAACCCACGATGAATTATCTCTTCCTCGATTCCTGCCAAGATTCTCTCCCCTAGTGCGGTTGCAACGGCTCCTGTCTGCGAGCTCGATACTGGCTTGAGCTCGGTATTGGGTCGAGCCCTCGGCCTTGGTTCGATTTCGACATTCGGGGTGAGTGTCTATCGGTCTGTGCATCTCCGACAACCTTCATGTTGCCTTGCGGTTCAATTTGGTCATGAGCTTGATAATTATATCGAGTTGATTCCTCGTTCAGTCTCGGAGCTCGAGTCTTGTTTGTACTATCCTCGGAACTCATCCCAAAATCCTACTCTGGTTGCTTGTCATTCGAACTCTATCGAGCGTAGGAGGGCCGAACTCTATTTCGACCGTATACAGATAGTCCCCTCGTTTCTCAGAAAGGATGTGATGAGAATCGATATAATTTTCGACGGCTCGATTGGGTTATGAGCTGACGTTTTCACAGGGCTCGTTTATGACGTAAGTGATAGTTGTCCCATCGATTTAGTCTCTCAAGGTTTTTAATGCATGTCAGACGGTGGTCGGCCACCGCTGATACTGAGTCGTCACGATGCAAGCCTATAAATAACCCCTCCCCTTATCTTTTACCACTTTTACATCTTCACTCTTCCAAAAAACATTTAAGTTCCTTTTCGTCTTTTCTGGGGAGGACTCTGATGACTCGGGGGAGTCTGAAGATGAGGACGGTGCCGAGAATACGGCCTCAGATGAAGGTTGAGTCATTTAGGTCGTTCGTTGCGTTCTTTTGATACCGCTTTCGGTTTTGTATAAAGAACTTCCTTTTGGCAGAGTAGCCGCCTCTATACAAAAAAATTGTAAATATAAATCTTTCTTCCTTTTGAAGAAAAATAGCCTTTCAAACTAAATAGATAGTTTGAATTTTAATCTCTGTTGCCTTCGGTCCTTACGGGTAGTCCCCTTTGTTTTATTGGGCTCGAACAACCTTCACCTGAAAAGGTGTTCGCTTGAATTCGAACTGAATGCTTGTTTGAACTCGAGATAAAAGTATCTCGTAGGCTTAGTAGTCGAGTGAATGATTCGAACTCGAAGTAATGTAGCCCGTAGGCGTAATGGTCGAGTGAGTGCTTGCTCGAACTCGAAATAAAAGTAGCCCGAAGTCTTTAGCAGTTGAGTGAATGATTCGAACACGATGCAATGTAGCCCGTAGGCGTAATTGTTGAGTGAGTGCTTGCTCGAACTCGAAATAAAAGTAGCCTGTAGGCTTAGCAGTCGAGTGAATAATTCGAACTCGATGCAATATAGCCCGTAGGCGTAATAGTCAAAGTAGCCCGTAGGCTTAATGATCGAGTGAGTGCTTGCTCGAACTCGAAATAAAAGTAGCACGTAGGTTTAGTAGTCGAGTTAATGATTCGAACAAGAAGTAATGTAGCCCGTAAGCGTAATGGTCGAATGAGTGCTTGCTCGAACTCGAAATAAAAATAGCTCGTAGGCTTAGCAGTCGAGTGAATGATTCGAACTCGATGCAATGTATCCCGTAGGCGTAATAGTCAAAGTAGCCCGTAGGCTTAATGATTGAGTGAGTGCTTGTTCGAACTCGAAATAAAAGTAGCACGTAGGCTTAGTAGTCGAGTGAATGATTCTAACTCGAAGTAATGCAGCCCTTAGGCGTAATGGTCTAGTGAGTGCTTGTTCGAACTCAAAATAAAAGTAGCCCGAAGGCTTTAGCACTCGAGTGAATGATTCGAACACAATGCAATGTAGCCCGTAGGTGTAATGGTCTAGTGAGTGCTTGCTCAAACTCGAAATAAAAGTAGCCCATAGGCTTAGCAGTCGAGTGAATGATTCGAACTCGATGCAATGTAGCCCGTAGGCGTAATAGTCAAAGTAGCCTATAGGCGTAATGGTCGAGTGAGTGCTTGCTCGAACTCGAAATAAAAGTAGCCCGAAGGCTTTAGCAGTCGAGTGAATGATTCGAACACGATGCAATGTAGCCCGTAGGCGTAATAGTCGAGTGAGTGCTGGCCCGAACTCGAAATAAAAGTAGCTCGTAGGCTTAACAGTCGAGTGAATGATTCGAACTCGATGCAATGTAGCCCGTAGGCGTAATAGTCAAAGTAGCCCGTAGGCTTAATGATCGAGTGAGTGCTTGCTCGAACTCAAAATAAAAGTAGCCCGTAGGCTTAGTAGTCTAGTGAATGATTCAAACTCGAAGTAATGTAGCGCGTAGGCATAATGGTCGAGTGAGTGCTTGCTCGAACTTGAAATAAAATTAGCTCGTAGGCTTAGCAGTCGAGTGAATGATTCGAACTCGATGCAATGTAGCCCATAGGCGTAATAGTCAAAGTAGCGCGTAGGCTTAATGATCGAGTGAGTGCTTGCTCGAACTTGAAATAAAAGTAGCCCGTAGGCTTAGTAGTCAAGTGAATGATTCGAACTCGAAATAATGTAGCCCGTAGGCGTAATGGTCGAGTGAGTGCTTGCTCGAACTCGAAATAAAAATAGCCCGTACACTTAGCAGTCGAGTGAATGATTCGAACTCGATGCAATGTAGCCCATATGCGTAATAGTCAAAGTAGCTTGTAGGCTTAATGGTCGAGTGAGTGCTTGCTCGAACTCGAAGTAATGTAGCACGTCGGTGTAGTTGTCGAGTGAATGATTCGAACTCGAAGTAATGTAGCCCGTAGGCATAATGGTCGAGTGAGTGCTTGCTCGAACTCGATCCTGTTTGCATAATAAATCTTGAACATAAAATATCGGGAAAGAAGAGGGCTTTCTTTGCAAGTCATTGTACATGTGTTCATGTTTTGCGTCAGGGCTCGGGCCAACAACATAAGCATGGTTCGTTCTGGCCATTTGGCCCTTACAACGTTTCCTATCGAGACACTATTTGTCATGAAATAATGAAGTGACTTCCTTTGCACCGAACTTGATAATCATCATAGATGCGTTCAATGATAAAGCCCCCTAGTATACGAGATTGATTTTAAAGAGGCCTCAGATACACAACAGTAGTATCGTTTCCGCTATATGGCTGGTATCGATCTCTGGTCGACTTTTTCTTGGTAGTTCTTTTCGTAACGTACCTAGAAATCAACTGGTCATCTTCGACTCTTATTTTGGATTGATATCGATTGTGTACATCGGTCCAGGTAATAGCTGGATACTCGATCAGATTTTTCCTCAGGCGCCGTGAAGCCATAGAGCTCCGCTCGTTTAGACCTTGAGTAAAAGCTTGAACAGCCCAATCGTCGGTGACTGGTGGCAGATCCATTCGTTCCATTTGAAAACGAGAAACGAACTCCCTTAGCATCTCGTTATCCTTTTGTATTATCTTGAAGAGGTCCGACTTTCTGGTTTCAACTTTTATGGCTCCGACATATGCTTTTACGAAGCAATCTGCAAGCATAGCAAAAGAATCAATAGAGTTAGATGGCAAATTATGATACCATACCATTGCCCCCTACGACAGGGTTTCACCGAATTTTTTCAATAATACAGATTCGATCTCATCATCTTCTAAATCATTGCCCTTGATGGCATACGTGTAAGAAGTGACGTGCTCGTTGGGGTCGGTCGTTCCGTTATATTTGGGTATTTCGGGCATACGGAATTTTTTGGAGATTGGTTTTGGGGCTGCACTCGAAGGAAAAGGCTTTTGAATGAATTTTTTTGATTCTAGCCCTTTTATCATTGGTGGAGCTCCCGGGATCTGATCGACCCTGGAATTATATGTTTCTACTTTTTTATCGCTGGCTTCGACTCATTTTGTGAGTTCCTCGAGCAATTTAGTAATTTCGGGAGTAGTCCCCGACTCTTGCTCATTTGACTTCAATATGGCTGGTTTCGTTCTGTGGGTGATTTCTCGAAGCGGATTGGGCTCCGGCCTGCAACTGAACTATCACTATTTGCTGGGCTTGTAATATCTCGAAGATTATCCGTAAGTTGACTCTGATATCCTCCACGTTATGGGTGTCTCGAGCTACGGATCGAGTACCGCCATGAATGCTTTTTTTCGGTTCGGAACGTTGGTTCGCCTCAAGAGCCACTTGTGAATTGACATCTAGCGGTACTTCGACTTGAGCTTCGGTGACATCGTTAATTCGCCTTCCGACCCTGGGTGTCAAGTTATTGGTTTCATCTTGAAGGTCGGCTTTGTGGTCGATAGGTAAAGCCATCAATCGAGGGTTTGCCATTATCGATTTTGAAGTTGCAAACTGGTGTGTATTGCAGATTTGTGTCAAACAATCACTGTTATCCTTAGCCCCACGGTGGGCGCCAAACTGTTTACCTGAAAAACGGATAGAGTTAAATTCATGTATGGTTCTAAGGATATGTGATATGATTTGATACAAACCGTATTTGAAAATGATAATATCTATGTTCTTGACTATGATTATGAGAATAGCGAGCAAGAAGAATGAATAAGATAAAATGAAATAAACCTAAGAGGATATCTCTCAATCTCCGAGGGCGTCCCCTGTTACAATCTGAGAACCCCCCTTTATAGTAGAGGGATCCTGCCATATTTATAATAAAAATACATAATGGAGAACCCACGATGAATTGTCTCTTCCTCGATTCCTGCCAAGATTCTCTCCCCTAGTGCGGTTGCAACGGCTCCTGTCTGCGAGCTCGATACTGGCTTGAACTCGGTATTGGGTCGAGCCCTCGGCCTTGGTTCGATTTCGACATTCGGGGTGAGTGTCTATCGGTCTGTGCATCTCCGACAACCTTCACGTTGCCTTGCGGTTCGATTTGGTCATGGGCTTGATAATGATATCGAGTTGATTCCTCGATCGGTCTCGGAGCTCAAGGCTTATTTGTACTATCCTCGAACTCATCCCAAAATCCTACTCCGGTTGCTTGCCATTCGAATTTGATCGAGCGTAGGAGGGCCGAACTCTATTTCGATCGTATACATGTACAAAAAGTAATACTACATCTCATACATTATCTATCATTATTACATAGCATAGTGCTTCTGAACTAAGTGGTTCTTACTCTTTTTGGCTCCAAAACAACTACGACAACAAAACTAAGGAAACAACATATGATGCATCACATTGAACTCATAAATTTGAAAGTACATTGAATTTTATGTTAGAATTGTAAAGATCGAACATATCAATTAGTTCAAATTTTGGATCCACCTCTTTTATTGTTATACTGCTTCCATATTATTTTGGTTGGTCCACCATCTTATTTTGTTCCTTGAAATTATGCTTGATCGAGGGAATCCAAGATGTCTAAGCATGTACCTTTTGCTAGTTGGTACTTGGTTGCCTCTTCTATATTGATTTGATTTACTTTATAAAACTACTTTAGGAGTTTAGCCGTTTAGGTATGGGAAATTTCTGAGAAATTTTTATATGAATTGAATGTTAGGTTAATCGATGATGGAAACATAACTAAACCTTGCGATTATATACCTTTTCTTCTTACATGTTAAGTTCTTCTTGAACTATGATTGGTCCGTTCTTTGAGACTCTTAAGAAAATAAGTTAGATTAATATGCATTAACAACATAAATTACTTTTACATTATGAGTATATTTTAATATGATAGTACAGTAACATGTTATTAGTTTACCAATTAAGCTTACTATAAAAAGTTACGCAAGTTAATGTAAGAATATTATATACTGTGAGTGATCAAAAGTTGAACTTCCTTTTAACTTAGAATATTTCTTTTAGATGGGTTCACATTTCAAAAGAGGATTGTTGGAAGAACACATAATGCAAGCCATAAAGCAATGGCACGCACAAGTGAAAAATAAGAAGAAGCTGCAGCAGGAAGAGGAGGCAGGTGCAAAGTTGTCAACAAACAACAGAGTTACCACAGATCAGTTACCAGAAATAGAATTCTCCTCACACAATAGAGTGCCAACTGTAGCTGAGTTCAGTGCTCATGAAATTCATAAGATCTCACAAACATGAAGTTGTTAGTCCTTGTCCTAGTTAGTGGTTGAAGGAGAAGGAGAATATAATTTTTAATTAATAGAATACACAAGGAAAGACTCGAAATTTTGCACTTGAGCCTAAAATTGATTAATTATTTCAAAAATATAAATTTATTAATTTAACTTTTGAAAGTGGATTACGTGTTTAGGTTATCTTCTCAATATTTCCAAAAAACTCGGTTCTTGTGAAAATTCAAGTATCGTTGAATGTGACTTATGGTTTGGCTTTATAAATTGGGATAGAATCTTGGCAAATATCCTTAAATAATATATAAGCTTGATAATAACAAGAACAACTACAGTGAGGTATTCAAGTGATCAACTGATACATAAATAGGACTAATCTATCCTTGAAAATAAATAGTACAGAAGATGTACACTAAATAAGTTTATGTGTGGGTAGGAAGAACACAGAGCTTGTCAAGAGGGGGCCTGTTTTACGTTCCAAAATTGCAAGGAGATCAAACCTCCTGTCCACTTGGTACACCTATGGCACAACCTGGCTGCCAAAAAATCCAACACCCAGAATAATAATAAAACTCAACAGGAGTAACACATTTCAAAAAATATTTCTAGTCTATAAAATTAGTCCAACTATGTAACAAGATTTACAGGCTATTGGCCCCTAGTATGAGGAGCAAGAGGAGGTTCTCAATGAATAAAAAGGGCTCCTCTCTATTGCTACTGTACATCCAGTGGTAATTTACCAACTGGTGATACCAAAACTTCTTAAAATTAGCTAAGCTATCCAAATGTACAATTCGTTGGTGAGTAACCTTTCAAGGTATCACCTACAAAATGGAATAGAAAAAATACGACCGGGCTCTGGTCAGAATCCAGATCACAGAATACAAATTTGGAGAGTTAAGCACTCACCAATCACGGAAAATCTTAAATTCCAGCATAGGAGTTAGAAGAGTACTGATGGCAGATGCATGCTCATCTCTAAGTCAAAAAGATGGATTCACCGAATCATTGCAGAGAAGATCTTACAAACAAAATATCGTGTGGTAGAGTCCACATGTTCTGCAGTAGAAGCAACCATTATTCCACCAATGTGGAATCTGCACCTTATTCAGTGTCGGAATCAATGCTTAGATACAATCTGGGTCTTACAGAACGACGTTGGCGAGGGAAATTAAAAGGACCATCTGATCTTTCTCTGCTGCTTGGACCATTTGATCTTTCTTTACTGCTCTTCATTGATACTCCGTCATTCATACCAAGAAGCAATGAAGCTGCATATAGAGTAGCATCAGTAAACAGGTTCAGATAACTTTAAATAGATGAACAAAGAAAGAAGAATACTTCTGACAGTATCTCTTATCTCACACATAAACATCTACCACGCACATTGGAATTACTTCAAAAAGTAATATAGCATGAGAATTCCATAAAACTACTTTAGGCGTGTGTATGTGCCTCATATGATTTCTCAACACACATATGCGTCCAAACATGAGTAATCACAGTAACTGATAATTATGGTCAATACCATAGTCATGCTTGTTGCAATTATAAGTACTAGCTCACAATGTAAAGGCACAAATAAATGTGAATGTTGACATTGCTCAACTTTCTCTTTCTATCTCCAACAAAATATCCATAAACAGGGAAATACCAGTGTCAGCCACCGAGTCCAAGGAAGAGTTTTTGGTTTGCGACGGCTGCCCAGAGCTCAACTCATTCGCAACTGCAGAATCACCACCAGCGCCAAGACTAAGTGAAATCCAATCCTCAGTATGAATGCCATTTCTCACACCTGGCCGATGCCTCGTATCAGCCTCAACTGATGCATCCGATGGTCTAGTAGGAAGAAATATCTGAAGTGAGGGATCATTACCACCAAATGATAGGGAATTATTAACTAAACCATCATTGATTTCAGCATTCAGACGGTCAACAGAAGATTCAGGAAGAAGAGAACAAGATCCAACGCCAGTATCTGCAGCTAATGAGTAGCCGTTGATAGAGCTTGGACAGTTAATAGAACCATGCTGCATATCTACTAAAGAACCTGAGACATCAGTATCTGAACCAAATAACTGAAAGCTCGGGCCCCCCTGGTTAACAGAAGGCAAAGGCCACATATCCATCCCAAATTCATCATCGTTTGCATTGAACAGCCCCAGGCATGAATTCCCATCATTAACAACTGCATGGTTGTCATGGCAAGAATCTGAAATTCCTTTAGGTCGACCAGGAAAAGAGACTATAGACGCATCAGCATGATTGTTACTATGAATAGATGTAGAAGAGATAAGTGGCTCGTTTTCTCCGTCAGAATCGCTTAGGACAATAACTTCAGCATCTCCTGAGGGTGCTGGGGGATTACGGCCGTTAAAACCATATCTCGGGCCAAAATTTGGGGATATGGTTTCAAGCTCAAACCCATTGTTAGAATTGTCAAAGTTAACATCCCCATCCTGATTAACACTGAGATCTTCACCTTCCTTGCCGCTACCAGTGGCACTGCTGCTCATGGCAATGATATCCTGAATCTGATTTTCAAAATTCTCTCTTACACTATTTTCGTATGGCAATGTCTGCATATCTTCAGGTTTGCTAATTTCCCACAAACCATTTCTGTTCTTCTTCAACCCAACTTTTAGTCCACTGTGGCTTTCAGAGCCTCCTTCCTGTTTAACATGCTTAAGAATTCCAGGCTTGGCTTTTGGCTCTATATCCTGAGATTCAATGAGATTCCCATCAGGTAAGTGCCACCGCCCTAGATCCCCAAGATTCCTTCGGTCGCCTTCTGCCTTTGCACGCCAAGAACCATCAGGTTTTACTTCAATCTCAGTCACTTCTTCTCCGCAAGTTCGCAGCTACACTCGAAAAGCCAAAAAAAAAAAAGAAACACAAATAAGAATTGAGGTTAACAGAGTTAAGATCACAAGCAACACTAGCAATACCTGGGAAGTGAATAATAAATGAGACCAGCAAGGTTAAAACAATGTATGATAACAAGAAATAATTACCCATACCTGAGAAGTGATCTGATTAAAATATGGGTCTATAATCACATGCTCCAGGGAGTAGTTCTTGAGACAGATAGGGCATTGCCACTACATCATATGAACAACATTTGTTACTAAATATATCAGCAGATACAAGAGACATATTTTTATCTGAATTAAGCTGATAGAAATTTTGACAAGGGTCCTAGATGCTTGCCTTCCTCGACCTTTGATTCATTTCAACAAAGACTTCAAGATCAAAGCAGCCCATATGCACACAAGGTTTGAATCTTCCAGCGACTTTCATTCTTGAACCACTCATCTGTAAATAGACGCAGACGAGAATGTCAAACAGTGTGATCCGTGTTGTGTCAAAAAAGTGGTAAACATGCAAGAAACCATCAAAGAAAATAAATCAATCCAATGAAAGCAAATTATTCAAATTAAAGACATCCTAGCCTCCCTCAAAAAAAGGAACTTGTCACATGATAGCAAGAGGAGGTCGAAGTGGGAGTCGGGGGGAATAAAAGTCTATCCTATAAATAAGAATTCTTTGTGTGTGATGTAACCATAGTAACATTTTAGCAGCTACTTAGATGAAGATAGTAAAACTCATTTGGAGAATGCTCAATTTAAGTACTAATCAGTTTCTTCTTTTGGCAAAGAGACAGAATGAATACAGAGAAGAAGAGACTAACACCACAGAGAAAGTGGAGAAGCGATCATACAATAGTTAAGTATGATAAAAATACCAAAAAGGGGCAGAAAATAAAAGAGGAATACAACGTCGGCATTTTCTTACAGGGCATCGAAGATTGACTGGAATAAAATCAGCAACCACTTCAAGGTCACTGTCGCTGTCAGCATTTTCAGTGGCAGTCCCACCACCAACACAACGACGAACGCGAGCAAGAGCATCATCAAATACCTCACCATCTGCCTCCTTAGGGATCACATTGAGAACCTAGAAAGAAAAGAAAATTTTATTCAGACACCATAACAGGATCATTACAACAGGACCAAGGCACATATACATGTCTATTGTTAGTCAAGCTAGATCTAAAGCCACCAGAAATTTACGAACCGCAGCTAGATAAAAGTAATAATAGAAGATAGCTTTTACAAAAGATTCTCAACTACAGGTACATATACCCGAACTCCACAACCCCCAGTTGAACTTTTCTCAAGAGTCAAGTAGCCATCTGACTAGTCTTTAAGAATCTCAGAGATAACAGCAGTTACTGCTCATTATCACAGATATAGTGCACAACTCTTAGAAACACTCAAAGCAGCTAATGGGCAATACTATAAAAGAGAAAACAAGATGAGACAAAGTGATACTATACACAATAAATTTTTCCAAAATAATACTACAAGCGTGTCCGAATACTTAAAATGCAAATAAGTTACATGTGTAATTGGGGAAATTTGACTACCTGTTGGAAAGTACGGCGATTTACAAGTCTAACCCCCAAGCAAAAGACACGAGCATCACATCCTGTTAATATAATTTTGTTAATTCCATCTCTAGAGCATGGTGTGATCTGTCAAAACATCAAGACATAAACTTGAGAGAAGCATCCAGGAAACTGAAAGCCTTTCTGTATGTATATCAATAAGAAAACCAAGAAATAGCAAGTAGCAAACATGAAATACAACTACATTAACGTATAGTCATTGAGAGTTTTGCCAGCACATATATGTACAACTATTCTGCCACTCCCAAAATGTAGAAGATAGAAGAGTATGCATAAATGAGTACTCACTATTGGACCATCATCTCGGCCATTTGCACCCAGCAATTGTGAACCAGGTCTATTTATGCACCGTACTGGAATTCCTGTCGGTTCAAATATAATTAGAGTTACTGCGCTGACAAAAAAACACACTAACAAAATTAAAGCATGTGAATTAGTTTTTTTATCATGTTTGTGGATATTGTAGTTTTTGGAGGAAACAAACAAGAACAAAGACAGAAAATACATTCAACCTGAGAAGGGTACAAAATAAAGTCAAAAACACTGTTCCAAGATTGCTTGCGCCTGCGAGTTCTACAACTGCATATTCTATATCAAGGCTGACCGGGCCTTTGCATTGAGAAGAAACATATC